ATGACTTCAAATGGCTCGATTGTTTAGGTACTTATCATGTTAGTGGCCCCATGAGATTTTAGAATGACGCAATTTTAAATATTATCATGTTTACGGACAATTTTATATGAATTTTGGAGGAACTAGGATTCCGCAATTTCTCTGATATTGATTGTTTAACTCATAGGATTTAATAATATGGTGAAAATCCTATCTTTATCACCGTCTATTTTCCTACAATTATTCGTCCATCCTTCCACATATTTTGTGAGATTTCAGGAATATGGGGAGTGAAGGTGTTTCGGTTGATAGATGCGACCGATGGGCAACCCTCCGAGTCGTCTGATTTCTCACACCTAATTGTTCGTTCTCACTCATGTTTTCCCTACACACCCTCCCACCACGCGCGAATGAGGAGAAAAAACACAACATCCAAACATTGCTTGCTTTGCAGCACCGTGCCAACCACCCGCACTAGGCAAGCAATGTCGATATAGTTGTTGTATCCATAAAGACTAGATTATTTATGCTTCATTGCAATGTATAGGCTCTTAAATTCCTCCTGTTGCAAGGCACGGACACATTTGCTAGTAACAATAATAAGAAAGATAAAGTCTACATCCTTTCATCTTTTACTATTTTTGATCTTTTCTGTTAATATTTGTTACCTCAACCGAAAAAAGATTTGTCACGTTAACCGGACTAGAAAAAGACTTGAGAGCTAAGAGCAACTTCAACGCGCCGACCATTTTGTCCACGCGTGTTCGCTTGGGTCAAAGCAGACATAAAAGTCGGCCCAACGCGCCGACCTAAATGGACCGCGTCCCATTTTCGTCCGTCTGCCAACCCGTTCCCAACCCAAATTTGAGCCTCATTTACGTCGACGCAGACACAAAATGGATGCGCGCGACGCCCGCCTACTCCACCCCCTAGCCCGCCGGTCGACGGCACAACAACAACCATTTCCCCCTGCTTTCCCAAAGAGCTCCCGGCCGCTCGCCATGGACGACGTGCCGACCCTTGATGCCGCCGCCTGCCTCGCCTTCCTCCGGCCTCACCTCTGTCGCCTCCGCCAAAGGTCGTGCCCTTCGCGCTCCGCAAGCCTGCGACACCGCCGAAGAAGAAGAAGCAATTGATACCCAAGGAGTGGGTCGTGCAGTCGGCCAAGAGGAAGGGCCGGAGGCACGTGCAGGACTGTGAGCTCGAAGCAGCGGACACCGCCGCACAGCAGGAGGAAACCAATGCCCGAGTGGCTGCGACAATGAGGGAGGCCCTGCTCTACCTAGGGTTAAACCCCGGCCTTCAGGGGCTCATCGGCATTCCCTCGGGTGGTACTTCCAGAGTCGCCGCGCGCGTCTGCCACCTAGCGGATTCCCGACTTCCATGTCTATCTGCAGGCCTCCCGCTTCTATGAGGAATGCTCGCCGGAGGTGAGCGCGGTGGCGCCGTCCAATCCCGCGGCCATGGCCATCGACCTCAACGCTACACAAGTGGCCGGTGGATCATCCTCCGAAGGAGCGAGGAAATGCCCGCGGGAGATGCCAGCCGACAAGCTTCCCGACGCCCGCAACCTGTTCGACAGAATGCCGGCCACCGGTGGCGACGAGATGGCCAACCGTTTCATCATCGAGAACATCATCTCCGAAGGTGGTGCGGGCGATGCTGCCTTCGATCCCGATGAGACCCAAAGCCAAGATGGCTGAGCGCCCTTCATGCCCGCCACCTTTGATCAAGCTGGCATGGACGACCCCTTCATGCAAGAGCAGGTCGGCATGGGCAGCACCTTCCCGCTCGACTACAAATTCCCGGGGCACTACGACCTTGAGGAAGAAGATGAGATGGACATCGACGAGGAGCCTTTGTTCGAGGATGAGCTCGCCAACCAAGCATGCACAAAGAAGAAGCACAAAAGCAAGCGGGCGAAGGCATACACGCAGGTGGAGGACAAATTCCTTTGCGAGTGTTGGAGGGACATTGGACAAGACCCCAAGGTCGGCACCGAGCAAAAGACATCTACCTTTTGGCTTCGTGTCCATCGTGAGTACCATGAACGCAAGAAGTTCACGCCGTACCAAATGGAGAGCAAGCGCGGGTGGGCGTCTCTCTCAAAGTGATCAAGGGTGATACAACTAGAGTGCAACAAGTTTTGTGCAATTCTTGAGAGCATCCAAGCACGTCCCGTGAGCGGCCTCGGCCTCAAAGATATGGTATACATGCGCCCTCTTCGTATTCGTTTCTGTTGTGTTTGCATGCCCATTTGCCGATATGCTTCCATGTTATTTATTTGTAGGCATTCCAAACTTTGGAGGCATTCAAGGCCCAACATGATGGCAATTCCTTCAACCTCACCCATTGTTGGATGATCATCAACGAGGAGGAGAAGCTCAAGCCGCAATATGCCACCGCCAAGGCGTGCGAGGAGGAGGAAGTCATCGAGGAGCATGGAGAGGGCGAGAAGCAACGGCCGCGGGGGAAGGCCAATTCCAAGAAGGAAGATAAGCGCGATGCGGCATCGATTGCCTTGCATGCCACTTTGGATGGCATGATGAGCAAGAAGGACAGAAGGGACGAGAAGTGCCGGCAAGACAAGGAAGAGCAAGTGAACACCTTCATCGAGATCCAAAGGAAGGTGCTTGAGCTCGATGCGGAGAAGCAAGTCAAGATGCTCGAGTTGGAGGCGAAGAAGTAAACGAAGATGCTCAAGATAGAGGCAACCAATGCCAAGACCAAGGCAAAAGAATGGCGCTCGCTGGCATGATGGGGGTGGTGGAAATTATGAAGGTGGACTTGAGCACAGTGTCGTCGAGGAAGAGGCCATGGTTCGAGAAGTTGCAGGCCGACATGCTCAAGTTTGATGACGAGTGATCTATGACGGAGAGCGTCATCCTTTATTTGTATGCCGGCAAGTGTCCTCACATGACCACGGCCAAGATGGCGTGGTTGAATTCCCGCCCCTTTTTTGTGTGCTGGCATGTGTGTCGGGCGCTGGGAACTGCATCAACATGAACTGTGTGATGGTTTTTTTGGTTTTTTGAAGGCCGGCATGACTGCCGGCATGATCTATGACCGCAGGTGTTTTAAAAATTGCGTGCGGACATGAAATGGATTGGCCTGTTGAGACCATGGCCGAGCCAAACGTAAAATGAGACGGACGACGAGCGGATGTCCGATTAAACGGATAGAAAATAGACAAAACACGCGTTCGTTTAGACCCGCGCTTCGGAGTTGCTCTAACAGTCCAACGGTTATCGGATGACTCTGCCGCTCCGCGGCGCAACCCGACGCGACGCAGCACAGCACAGCACAGGGCAACGCAGCGCAGCCCGACGCGACGCCCTCACGTGATGCGGCCCGCCAGCGAGTTCGGCCTCACCGTGGCCGGCCAGCGCAAGCGCTCGCCGGAGTTCCCCTGGGTGTCGCGCCTCGGGCAGCGGCGGCTCATCGCCTTCCTCTCGCGCCACAATTTGAATCCTTGTTGCGTTGTTGGCCACATGTGCACTACCATGCCTCGGTAGCTTACATATCCACAAAATTAGAATGCGAACTCATGCAACGACATGCTTGCTTGCACCTATCATTAACTTTGTTACTACGGTGCCTGAATGCCCTGATTTACCACATTGATATTGTGGCCTACTATGGACCTGTAATACTCCTTCGGCACGCATAATTGGTTTGGCTGCCTACATGCTACCATTTCTAACTGCTGAACTCTCGGCAGGTGGTCCGGTTACTCGAGTCTCACGGACTAATCTTGATACCTTCAAAGTGGTCACTTACCGTAGTAAGTTTACTGAACATCCAAACCATTACCATTAGTCCGTGCAATTAATCCATGAAATTGTTCCCTTTTAAAGGCCACAAAATGTACAAGTCAAGTGGCTATATGCCCTTGTGACACTGTGTGCCCTGTAATTTCTTTGTATGCCCTCATGGTGTTTACTTTATCTTCCATGTAATTCTATAAGCGCGCATCTGTTCATTTGTTGTCAATAATCTTGTATTTTTTTTCCAATGGCAGCACTATTCCGCAAGGCAAAGGAATGGTTGGTATATTTTACAAGTTAGACTAGACTCTGCTCTGCATGTTTTCATTTGCTTATATACTTGTTCATTTATGCATTGACGATTGTGCTCAACTTACTGTGATCACTGGCTTTTGGTTACACGGTAGCATCTGATGGAACTTACATGATCTTCAGAGGAACGTTTGGAAGCTTGGCCAGACGCGAGTCAAGATGATCTACCTCAACTTTTCTAGAAAGGATGGTAACTCTTTCACCCACCACATATGTGTTTATTCTTAGAGAAATCCATGCCCTTATGTATGATAATCATGTAATTTGTATTACTCACACCGACCGTACTCAAAATTGTGCTAGTGATGCAATGGCATCGTATGGTAGGAGTGAGTCCAGAACTGCAGTATGGTTAGGCTCAGGTCCGGATTTCTAGTTGGAACTTTGTAACAGAGACCGAGATGGTCTGGTTTGAGTAATACAAATTATTCCCCCGTAAAGAAAAAAAACTATGTGCTAATGTAATATAGATTCAATATTCAAGAAGTACTAATCTCATCTGTACAGATGTATGCTACTGGTTGCAAAACAACAGATTGGGTTTATAAAACGCTTGATAGCAATTTATACAGGAGCCCACCTAATTACCATCTGCCATGACATACATATCTGCCGATACGATTGGAGAGCATGTATCACATGCAGTACACATGAAAAGACCACTTGCTGTATGGATGAAACACCTGAGCACTAGCTAGAACATGAGGAGAGGGAGGGACTGACTTGCAGGAGGAGCATCAGCAAAGGTGGCAAAACTTTTGATCCAGCTAGTATTTTTCCATCTGAAACTTTTCTCAATTTGCAAAGTTTCATTTCAAACGACGTCGCTCACAATTGAAACATCACTACTAACAACAACATATCACATCATAATGTTTTGCACTTGCTACTGAGTATACTGAGGCAAAAACAGAGCTACGGATATGTACTGATCAGACGCCACTAGACCACGCACTCCTCGGCGCAGGCGCCGCCCCCGCCGCGGCTCTCCAGGCCGGCGACGTGCTCGTCATGCATGGCCGCCAGGTCAGGGTGCCCGTACATGGCCGCGGCGACGGCATAGCACCCAAGCACGTAGACGAAGGCGAGGAACACAGCCCCGAACAGCTGGAAGTTAGCCAGCTGCTCGGCGCGTTCCCCTGCGGCGCGGCTGTGGCAGTCGACTTGGTGGCCGCTGGCATCTCGGTCGCACCCGGCCGGGAGCATGGGGCCGTACAGCGTGAGCGCCGTCTGGTAGAACCACAGCCCCTGCAGCGCCATGAGCATGCCGGCAGCGACGTCGACGGGGAAGCTCGCCGGCAAGAGCGCGCCAAGGACGGCGGCGAGGATGCAGAGGCCGATGAGGATGACGAGGAGGTGGTGGTAGTACCCCTCCAGCCCTGTGTGGGTGGCCGAGTGGTAGGAGAAGAGCAGGAATTCCGACGTGAAAGCTGCCGCCGCCACCAGGCACAGCTCGCCGTCCGTCAGGGGCAGGTACCTGCGGTGATCGCCATTGCAGTGAGCTTATCACATCAAGGAAAATCTATCTGAGATGGTCATCAAAACTGGCTGATCATGTTTCTGAAATTGACAACAAATAAAATGTGACCTTTAACAAAAGATTATTATGCAAAGAAATCAAACATTACCAAATTTATGTCTCAGCTGGACTTTTGGTGCTACGAATTTCACGCAAATTCTACCAATTTTGAGCTATCTGAAGAATGGCATTACAACTTACACCAACTAAAAAAAACTCAAGAACAGAGTTGACAGATCCACGGAGTACGGAGAAGGACGGCAACGCACCTGCTGCGCTTCTGGGAGAGGAGGGCGAGCGCGCCGAAGAGGAAGAACATGAGGAGCATGCCGGCGTGCTCGAGGTAGATGAGGCTGGACTCCGGGGCGGCCCCATCGCCGCGGCTGGCGAGGACGCCGCCGCCGAGCTCCAGGCACATGTCGAGGAGCGTGCCGCCGGCCACCACGTAGAGCTCCAGGAGGCGGGGCGCCCCGGGGAGCTCGAGGGGGCACCACGCGCGGACGCGGAACGCCGGCGGGTCCGCGGCGAAGCGCGCGACGGCGGACCACACCCGCCACAGGCCCACCGCCAGGAACAGCGTCCCTGGCAGCACGTGGCCGTTAAACGACCCCATCTAGTCTCGGCTCGCGGCGGCGGCGGCGAGCTGGGGCGCGGCAATGCCGGACCGCGCGGGGTCGGTTGATGGCCGGTGAATCGGAGGCAATGTGCGCCTGGGGAAGAGAAGAGGTCGGGGGATGGATGGATCGCCAGATCTCTGCGAGGATCCGAGACAGGGGGAAAAGGCAAAAAGCTTCCGTCGTTAGGTGCCGGGGGGTCCAAGATCAGAGAGAGAGAGACAGGACACCATAGTCTACTCCAGTCCAGTCCAGTAGCTTCGTCCTCCGACAGTGTTGCGCTGCACCAGCAATGCACTGCATATCTTGCTCAGAGATTCAGAGCTCCGACGAGCCATGTCTGCGTTTCTTGGCGTCCCAGCAGTATTTGGGGTTTGTTTGGTTACCTGCCACGATTTGCCAAGCCAAAATTTGGCAGTCATAGTTAGAGCAACTTCAACAGGCCGATTTTAAATGAACGACGATTTTGTCTGTTTTTTATTCGTTTGGGTTGGCCAGACAAACACGAATGTCTGCTTCTGTATTTGGGTCAATGCGTGCATATTAAAAAGAAAGAAACAACACTAACTAAACATTAAAGCCCGCCACAAAAACCGGCGAGAGTCCGCGTGTCCATATTTGCATTAAAAAAAATAAAAACAGCCTAAACTACGAGACGGCGCGCTGCCCTAGACATCGTCGTCGTCCTTGGTGTCCGTGAGGTCGATGAGCGTCGGCGCCGGCCCGGCCCAGGCGAACGCCGTGTTCCAGAGTGCCGTCATGTCGGCAGTGCCGACGCAGGCAGTGCCGACGCGGGGGGTGTGTGCCCGCCTGTGCAGCGGCGGCCTGGCGCGCCTCCTCCTCGGCCTCGCGCTGCTCCTCCTCGAGGTCGCGCTCGAGCATCTTGAGGTACTCGCCGTCGCGGCGCTCTTCGGCCACCCTGATCTTGCCCCAGTGCTCGAGGTATGCCTCCTCCTGAGCCGGCGTCGCTCCCATCCAGACCGGCGGCGCGCGTACCCACTCGCGCACTACTCCCGTCCAGGAGTAGCGCTCGATGGGGGACGGCTTCGGTTCCCGCTTCGGCTCCGGCTTGATAGGAGACGGCGGGGCCACCGGCGGCACCACGCTGTCGCCCGCTGCGGAGAGGGCAAGGGCCTGCGCCACTGCCGCCTCGTACCGAGCCTCCTCTTTCGCCTCTGCCGCCTCCGCCCTGCGCCGCTCGTCCTCCTCGCTCTCCCGGTAGACGGCCGCAAGGGCCGCCTGGTAGGCGTCCTCCGCCGCCTGGTCCTCCTCGCGGACGACGAGCGCCGGTGGCGGCGACCCCCGGTCGACCTCGCGCACGCCCCGTCGCCTCGCCTCCTCGTGCTCGAAGATGAACCACCTCGCCCAGTTGGGCGAGTCGGTTGCGTAGGCGGGGCCGCGGCGCTGCTCGGCGTCAGCAGCGCCCGCCGGCGCCGCACCTCCTCCGCGTGAGCACGAGCCGACCATGGTGCCGCCGACACTGGGATCCTATCTGGATCCAGATGCCAGTCGTGCGGCAGTGCCACGTCGGGATATGACAGAGGCTGGCGGTGTTGCCAGTGCCACTCCGCCTGGTGCACTGGCACGCTCACGCGCTGCCTTTGCCGGCGCCGGCGGAGGCGGGAGGAACTCTGAGGGAAAAGGGGTGGCGGGGGACTTGCCCTTGGCCTTGCTGCCGCCGGTGCCGGAGTAGAGGCCCATCTCGCTGTGGTTGTGGTGGCTAGGGTTTGCCGACGACGAGGGAGCAAAGGATGGCAGATGTGGACGGCGAGTTTGGATGAGGACGGCCCCGCCGCACGGTCGGCTTAAAATAGAACGAACGTTGTCGCTGACGCGTGGGCTCGTCGTTATAAATTAAGCTGACCGCGTGGGCATCGGGTAGTTGGACGGCCGCCATATGGGGACGCGGCGCACAACAGGAAGGCGCACGAAGCGTCCGTTCGGCGTCCGCGCCGACGCATTTGGGGCGCAAATTTGGGCCACAAATGCGTCGGCGCGGACGTGATTTGGATTTGGGCCGCCACTTTTGTCTGCGCCGACCCAAACGGATGCAGGCGGACGAAATGGGTCGGCCCTTTAGAGTTGCTCTTAGTTGACATGTGTTTGGTTTTTGCCACACTTTGGCTTGCCACATTTTATTGCCCATATGGCCCATTTATCATGGAGATAATTTCTTTACCAACTATTGCCAAAGTTTGGCATCCAATTTCTCAGCCACACTTGTGTAGCTTGCCATACTTGTGTGGCTAGCCACATTTTGACTTAGCTACGTTAGTCTTCAACCAAAGAGACCCTTGATGTGATCCCACGTATCTCTGCGTCGTGGACGAGTTTGTTTGGTCAAACCCGTGATGTGTTAAAAAAAACTGTGATGTGATGTCTTCTTTGGATCAGGTTCCTTAAAAGCAGCAGGAGCACAACTACTGTTAAAAAAAAGAAACCATCCAGAACTATTTCGAACTTGAACTTGGGTGAGTTGGTTAGGTGGACAGTGGTATTCCCAACCCACCAGAGTTCAAATCCTGGTGCTCGCAGTATTTTTGGATTTATTTCAGAATTTCCGGCGATGCGTTTTCTGTGGGAGGAGACGTTCCTGTCGACGACGGGGCGCCTACGATGACTTTGTAAATCTCAAGATGATATGCCGGCTCAGTCTCTCGGAGATGCTCATAAAGATAGGATGTGCGTGCGTGCGTTCATAGGGGTGAGTGTATGCGCGTGTATATGAGCGCTTGTGTCTGTACTGATGCCAAAAAAAAACTTGGGTCACCTTCGGACTCAAACCCAGGTGGGCTTGCTCGCACCGAGCGAGCCAAGCAAGCAGGGTGACACCCTGCTCTCTTTTCATCTAAAGTTAAAAGTTAAATGCATGAGCAGTTCCTAAATTTATGTCATCTAGGGTCACAAATCTTGAAAACATATTTTTGGCAGTAATTTAACAAGTTTGGAGACGTACGGTGCACCACTTATAATAAAGCTCCAGAAATATATTTTCAAACTTTGTGGATTTAAGTAGCACCCCTTGATAAATTTAAGAACCTTATGCATTAACTCTTTAATATATTACTCCTTTTATTTTTTATTAGATGCCGTATTAACTTTGTCCTAAGTCAAACACTTGTATCTTTAACGATTGACTTCAAAAAATTTATATAGGTTCATGTCATAAGATTTAAGTTTTTGGATTCACTATAAAAAATACTATCATAATATAGAATTCAAATGTTGCGACTTGCGGAACTATAAGAATTTTATAAAATAGCTGGTCAAAGATAATAATATTTAGCTTATGACAAAGCTAAGCTAATGCGACATGTAGAAAAGAATGGAGGGAGTAATTGAATAACTGAATTAGACACCTTAAAAAAAGCTAGCCGTTGCAAGAATTTAGAGATAAAATTGTAAGAAATCTGTCCTATTTGAATAAAGTTGCTCCAGACGTTAGCAGCAGTACAGCCATTTGTTGTTCCCACAAGCCACAATCGTAATCCTTAAGACCAGTCTTAGTGGATGTTTTATGTCTTAGCTTTAAAAACTCCTATGTGCTGAAAACAGTATAGATATATTTCATTCCATTAAACTTTCATTATCTTTCTTTTCATCTGTACTATACTATGTCAATTTATTTAATGCCCTTCAAGTTTTAAATTGGCCGAATGCAATATTTAGGAACACGATTATTGCTCTCCCCAAAAAGGCACTAATTGCCCCGTTTCAGACCTATACTTGTCTTAAGCTGTCTAGTCTCGCAGGACCCAATCAAAAAACTGGCCTTGAGAGATAAAGGGAATAACTACTAGGCCACGACGACACCTGTGGTTAAGTACTTCCTTTTTCCATTTTTACTTCTTAAGTTCGCGAAGCCGTGGTTTTGTTAAGCTTCCAGAACCAGTTTTTCCAGTTCACTGGTCAGTTTTCCTAGCAGTGTTATTTATTTTTTTTCCTTTTTATTCCTTTTTTATTTTATCTTTGTTTTCTTAAATGCACGGAATTTTTTTCAAATTCGTGATTTTTATTTCTCAAACTTGACGAACTTTAAATTGATGATATTCTTTTCAAACAATCCATGAACTTTCCTAATATTTGCTAACTTTTTTTGATGAGGTAAAATTTATAAACACCTTTTCAATTTTGGAAACGTTTTTAAAAAATCGATGAACTTTTTTCTAAATTTAGTAGAACTATTCTGAAAATGTATGATTTTTTTAGATTTGATGAACATTTTTCAGATTCGATGATTTAAAAAAAAATGATGAACGCTCTTTTAAAATCGATGAACTTTTTTCAAAACTGATGATTTTTTTTCAAATTCGTTGACTTTTCTGTCCAAATCGATGAACCTTTTCAGATTCGCTAACATTTTTTCAAAATGCGTGAACACTTTTTCAATTTCGTGAACTTTTTTAAAAGGGAAAATTTTGTTTTGGCCACTCTAGATTTTGATATTTTACTTTTGCCACTCTTAGTTTTTGACAATTATCACAAATTTCATTCCCATGGGAAAAGCAAAATTTTCAAAGTGGCAATTGTGATAATTGTCAAAAGCTAAGAATGGCACAAATAAAATAAAATAATTTTACTTTTGCCATAGAATGACAATTGTGATAATTGTCAAAAGCTAAGAGTAGTAAAAGTGAAATGTCAAAATCTAGAGTGGCACAAGAAAAATTGGCAAAATCTAGAGTGCCAAAACAAAATTTTCCTTTTTTAAAAGGCTATCGTAAACTCTTTTCTAAATTTCGTGATTTTTTTTGCACTTGATGATTTTTTTCAAAATTAATAAACTTTTCTGAAATCAATGAACATTTTTGAAAAATGATCAATTTTTAAAATTGTGTACTTTTTAAAAATGAATGAACTTTTTTAAAAAAATACAAGAATTTTTTGAAATTACTGAAATTTTTCAATGTTGTTGAATTTTTTTCAAATTGATCGAGTTTTTTAAGTTTGTGAACGTTTTCTTTGAAAATAGAACATTTTTTGATTCCCGAATTTCTTT